CAGACAGCCTCTTCCCAATATGCGTTTTTGCAATTTACATATATGCAAAAACGCATAAAAAAAACTGAAAAAGTTGAAAACCTTTCTTTAATGGTAGAAGTAATGGATTTAATTTCATCAAAGCATATGCCATATTGACCGCAGCTCAAATTTAAATTTCGTCTCTAGGCTCTCCTCGATCTTTACGAAAAGTGCTGTACTGCTGTTTTTCGGCCAGGTCCTTATTTACTGTAAAAATTGAAGAAGAAACAGCTGTAACAGGGGAATAAATGATGAGAGGCAAGTAAGGCAGTCAGTGAAGCCCAAGCAAAAGCTGATTCTCGGATACAGATTAGTGTGTTGTATGAATTTGAAAGAAAAACACGTTCACTACTTTCAGTCATTTTTGGAAGCCGCGACTGGCCTTCTATCTCCAGCTCCAGCATCGTACTTCATTCCAAATCCACCAGCACCACCACCACCCCCGCGGCAGCAAGTACCACGTTCATTTCCTCCTCCCCCACCTTTCCCCCCTCCCGACTTCAATCCACTTCCAGAAGCATTTCCGATACCGCCCCCTCCACCTCCTATATTTCCGATTCCTGTTATAATTCTGAAGCCCTTTTATCCGTATTTCCCTCCCCCTTGCTTAACGTGTGGTCCAGCATTCCCACCTCCACCTTTCCCACCAATTCCACCCCCACTTCTGCCTCCTCCTCTGCCACCACCACTTCCACCGCCACCACCTCCGCCTTTCTTTCCACCACCGCCAATACCTCCTTTTCCAGTCGAAATAGTGTTAGCCTTTTTATATTTTCATACAAAGAAATCAAAAACACACCGGCATGAATTTTTTTTTTTGAGGTTGAGAGTCGGAACAGACTGAGATCTAAAAATAATCCGGTTTTTTGAGCCATGAATTCAGCTCCAAAACTAAAAGAGTCAGAGAGGTAAAAATTTGGTATTTTTTGCTCTTAACCGTGTTCAAACGGATACCTAAATTCCCCTCAAAAACAAATTCAGGTAAATGCGATTAAATTACGAGCAGGCAAAAATTCTTTGTTCTAGGTTTTTAATTCTCAACATAGCAGCGCAGGCAAAGAAAAAAATTGCAAAAAACTTTTCATTAGTATATGATTCTTAGCCAAATTAGAACCGACCGACAATAAGGCAAAGAAGCAGAAGTCAGTCCAGAAGTTTGAATTGCTTTTCGGAAATTTTTTTTTCGTGACGTGTATAACGTAAGCGTGTTCGGAAGCGCTTTGCTCTTTGCACTAGGGGAACACCAAAATGGTCTTTATTGAAGGGAAAAGAAACTTGTTAAACTAGACACCGGTTAAAAAACGCTATTTCGATTACTAGTTCGCTGTTTTGACACAGCTTTAGCGGTTGGTTTATTGTCGGGTGTTGAAGACGTCACGGAATTTTTTAGCTGTTGAAGATCATTAGAACAAATCCGAATTAAATTTTTGTTTAGCACAGGTGATTCTGCACCAGCAGCAGCGGATAATTTTGATGGCTCAAAAGTCCTCAAGAAGTCCGTATCAGAAGACGGATCTAAAAAAATCTCAGAGCAATCGAATGCACGCAGAACGGTCGCTGATTACATGGAACGTGCCTCACAGGACGAACGAAAGGAGGAAAGATTTCATAAATAAGAGTAAAGTGATCCTTTAATACTTTCCTCGGCTATTTTTGAAATACAATGTGCATGAATATTTCAGTTTTTTTTGTGATTTACCACAAACGGATAAATAATAGGGCGCATCAGAGATGAAACGTGAGTGCTTGGATGTTCTTGCAGATGCAAAAAGTGATTCTACTTCGAAGAGTATTCTTTAACCCATTCTATAAGTGTTAATAGTAAAAGCAAATAAGAAAAAACCAACAGGAATAGAAATATAATTCCGAGGATTATTTATATACATATACGTTTACACCAATACATTATTCCACAACAGCGCCGAAATCTTGAAATTGTTGAGCCGGAAGGAGCCTGAACGCGGTTACAGCATTACTGTACTGGAGGCAACGCCGTACGGACCTGGTCAATTACGGAAGTTAAAGACCTAGCGTTAGCTGCAACGGAGGGAGCGATGGAGCGAAAGATGCTTGGCTTGCTTCTTCGCAACCATATAAAAGTCAAACTTTCTGTCAGATGAACATCTTGCAGGACATTATTGCGACCACACGAGAAAGTAAAACCGATGGGCAGAGCAGATTGCTAGCTATATCGAAAGCCGGTAGCCGCAAAAAAGATAATTGGCCAGCGTACCGACTGCCGTTGCGAAGACGCGTTTTTTGCACAGCTCCCTAGCAGGTTTATGTCGCTAACGGCACTGCTTTTTCTGGCAGTTGCTCATAGCTAAAAGAATTGAGACTGACCACAGTGATTGTCAGAAATTATTATAGTGATTACCAATCTGTGCTTGAAAAAATCGGCACCCTAGGTTTTTCGGTTGCGAGCTAACGTCGAATTTTAAGTGATCGTACGTAAAAAGGTGTCAATGTTGTTTTCACGCACGCTTGCCTAAACACTGTCCTGAGTCATGCTCAGAAAATTTGAGCGTCCTACCTGCCTCGGTTGCAGAGTTATGTCAAATCCCACGTATCCTTACTTGACACGAACGTGAGACATGAGAACGTTGAAGGGAACGTGAAAGTTATTTTCACAACCACCTGGTCAAACGCCGTCGTTTGACCACGCTCAGAAACTTCCAGCTTTGTAGCTGTTTCAGTTTCGAATTTACAAAGCTGCCTGCATGAAATTTTCACGTGTCTGTATATGAGATGAATAGGGGTAGAAAACTCAATCTGTTTTCACGGACACATCAGTGCTCGGCAAGTAACGCTGCAAAATTACTTCCTCTTAGTCAGCTTAATTCCCGGGTTGGCGCAATGTCAATTTAAATTTGCAAATGCTCGCACATACCTGGGAACTGAGTTTTGAACCTTTATGTTGCACCTGACGGAGAACAATCTTTTAAAATTTCAGACGTCCGGCTTCTCTGATTCCTAGGTCAGCAATTTTTCCGCCACAATCTTCCACTTGCCCACATATGTGAACCACGCGGACGTGAGCGTCATTTTGAGAATAATTAGCCCCTATGCAGATGCAAATTAAGTTGCCAAAGTTTTAGCCTTGTAACTTTTCTGGGTCCCCAAATAGAAAATCGGTACAGGCGCACACACAGACAGACAGATAGACGCACACACACGCACACACAGACACACACACACACAGAAAACCCTTCGACAATATGTGTTTTTGCATTGCATGGATACAAAAAAAGCATGAAAGCAGCCAATTGGGAAGTCTGATTGTTAAATGGTCACGAAGAGATACTTCCAGCAACCTTCGCTATATCGTCTTCTCCTCCAAAGCCAGTTTTCATTCTACAGTATGACTATTTGTAAGAAAAGTTGTTAGAATACGAACTGCTAAAACATTAAAATGTCTCAAGGGAAAAAAGAAATTGTATAATAGACTGCTCAGAAAGAAAAGCAAATTTTCTTACTTTTCTTTCAGTTCACATTAGTAGCTGCGACAAAAAATTTGCCAAAAAGATTAGAAGAATTTGTATTCTGAAAAATTTGCTATTTTAATGCACTCGTCGTAAATGTGTGGATCGTTTTTTTGTCTGTTCGCTCAGACTGATTTTTCATCTCTACAAAAATCGGGTCTGATTTATTTTTCTTTTTTTTTTGCGAGCAATAAAAGCATGGAAATGCCATGACAATATTAATCAAGCTTCTGAAAGCAGACCTGGATTGTGACAGTGCTCAGATAAAATGTCCCGAGGCAAAACAACCCTTTGCTTTTTTTTTTGTGCTTGCTTTCTTGGGTAGGGTCAGGGACCAGGCCGGCGAATTGATAGCAGATTTGAGAGACGATAACAGTGATTTTGAGTCTTCAGCTTCGCTCTGTTTCTTAAATTAAGATTTTTGATGCGAAGCTTCTTCGTTTCTCAATTAACAAAACTGGTCAAAATTTGGACTCGACATTATAACATATAGCAGTCAGTATCTGAAGCAGTTTATGCTATAAAATGGAATCCCAGTGCTTCCTGGTATGCTTTTGCAACCGTTTGCTCTTGAACTTCTTCGAACGCAGAAAGCTTTCTAGGCTTTTGACGCACGCACTCAATACATTACACCCAGTACACACACACACACACACACACACACACACACACACGCAGTAAACACTCAAACACACCCAGTAGACTGGCATTTGCAGTGTTCCTGTTAGAAAGCTAACTTGATTTTGAATCTGAATTGATGACTCAGGAAAATCCTGGGCTTGAAGTTGATTTTTGGACTGTTGGCACTGCAGTATATTACATTTTTTATGCGTTTTTTGCATCTATGCAGTGCAAATAAAGCAAATTGACAAAGGGTTATGTGCGTATGTGTCTGTGTGTACGTCTGCACCGATTTTTCATCTCTAGACCACGGGCCACAATCCTCAAAATTAACGCTCTTACCCGCGTAGTTCCCAAGTACGGGCCTGTCAAAATTTTTGACGGGTAAGTCACTAACTCGGGAATCTGAGAAGCTAGAAGACTGGAATTTTAAGGGATGTTTCCCAACCACATAGGTCCTAATGAATTCAAATCTAGCTCCAATATGCGCGATTTCCTAGCACGGGCCCGTGAAAGTTTTTTTACGGGTAAATCGCTAAGTCAGGAATCTGAAAGGATAGACGGCTGCAATTTTGAAAAAATGTCCCCGTCCATCTGGATGTTAATGAGCCCTAACCCATACACTGGGTTATGCTAGTACCCACATGCGGGCTCTTGAATGTTTTTTACGAGTAAGTTGTTAATTCGGGAATCTGAAAAGCTAGAAAACTGAAATTTCAAGGGGATGTTCCCCGACAGTCTGGCGGCCAGTTTTAATTCGTTAGCTAGAAGCATCTGCAGGAAAAGCCGATGCCGTTAGCGACAAAAACCTGCAGGGAACTATGCAAAAAACGCATTTTCGCACCGGCAGTTTGTCACAACTTTCAACTCAGGAAGCAGGAAAGCTGGGAGGTTGAAATTGCTGGAGCACGTTCCCACCACCTATGCTGTCATCCCGCTTTAAAGTTAATGTTCATGAGCATTTAGCGCCTGAAATATATGTAAATTTTCTAGCGCGGAACGATTTCGAGGAGCTCTGAGCAGGAATATTCTCTGTCCATGTGTGAACCAAAGATTTCAAATTTAACTATCGCGCACGCTTGCGACATGCGTGCAATCATGTCAAAATTCACAGCTGGAACTCTAAAACTAGACACAAGACAATAGCTGTGATTTTGCCAGAATAATTATCGTCAGTCTGGGAAATTGTTTCCTAAATAAAGTTTTGAACTGCGCTTGCTCCAGACTTTGGGACACATCAAACATACTCGTACTGAAGCCAGGATTTCGAGCACTTGACAAGTTGCGAAGCTGAAATTTTTTAGGAATACTTTATATTCACATTTAGTTTAAATTCAGCTTGGAGACTAAATTCCCTGCGTAAGGACATGAAAAATACTCAGTTTTACGGCAGTATCAAAAGCGAGTATATTTAGCGGCTGTCGTGATCTTTTTATCTCGACATCCTGTTCATTGACTAATTTGTATTTTTCGATGAACGACCGATCGCCGAACAGATTTACTGCAATATACGTGTTGGAGGCTAAGATTTCACCCGACGTTATGAACAGCAGTACCTCATTAGCCGACGCCCTTTTCTCCCTGCACGCAAGAAAAGGCCAAAACACAACAATATTAACTTAAATGTTATTAAAGCAGCCACCGTTCATAATGCTAATAGTCAGACTGATTCAAGTTCAGCTCGAAAACGCATAACTGCGATGTTCGAAGACGCAAACAGGATACACACACGCGTCTGACTTCATCATAACATGTCTTTTTAGCTTGTGTAAGAGCGTGGCAGAATAAAAATAGAAGAATGTCAGTGTTAGTTACTGCGCAAGAAGACAGAGATTACTCTGAGTTCAGATGTAGACGCTGAGGTTATAAAAATCTCAACAACATGCTTATTAAGCTGCATGGAAACGGCAGGGAGAAGGCGGAGCAAGGTGATGATTCGAGCTAACAATCTGAAGGCAAAGTATTGTTATTGTTATTATTACTGTTATTGTTGCTTTCCCCAGCGCCTACAGCATCATCTCACATTTAACGACCAGCAAACAAGATGATCAAGGTAAAATTTTTTGTGCTTAAATTTTTGGGTCCAGTTCAGCAGCTGCTTTGAAAAAAATTACTTTTTAAGCAAAAAATCGAATGCATTCTATGAACAGATACTAACACAGTCATCTGTTTTCAATTGCCCCTGATAACAAATCTTCCAGTAAAAAGACTTTCCTCCAGTTTCAATGATCCTGATATCGCTTAGTGAATGATTAAGTAAAAGGAAAAGTGTTTGTGAGTTTTGAAGAAAGGCATTTGCGAAAGGACTGAAATAGAAGACGAATGCGCGACAACAGTCTTGTTTTGCTGGCACCTGCGCACGTCGAAGCGTAATAACATCACCATTTTGTTGCTCAACAATGCCGTTTAATGTGAAACATTAACTTAGCTATGTTCATCAACTGCCCTTTCATCGTAATGCACGGACATGCTGCTGTGTAGCTATCATTCTTTCCAGTAGAGGTTTTGACCAA